TCTCTGTATAGTGTTACATGTAGCTCTCTCTGTATAGTGTAACCTGTAGCTCTCTTTGTATAGTGTAGCTCTCTCTGTATAGTGTTACATGTAGCTCTCTGTATAATGTAGCTCTCTCTGTATAGTGTTACATGTAGCTCTCTGTATAGTGTTACATGTAGCTCTCTCTGTATAGTGTAACCTGTAGCTCTCTTTGTATAGTGTAGCTCTCTCTGTATAGTGTTACATGTAGCTCTCTGTATAATGTAGCTCTCTCTGTATAGTGTTACATGTAGCTCTCTGTATAGTGTTACATGTAGCTCTCTCTGTATAGTGTAACCTGTAGCTCTCTTTGTATAGTGTAGCTCTCTCTGTATAGTGTTACATGTAGCTCTCTGTATAATGTAGCTCTCTCTGTATAGTGTTACATGTAGCTCTCTGTATAGTGTTACATGTAGCTCTCTCTGTATAGTGTAACCTGTAGCTCTCTTTGTATAGTGTAGCTCTCTCTGTATAGTGTTACATGTAGCTCTCTGTATAATGTAGCTCTCTCTGTATAGTGTTACATGTAGCTCTCTGTATAGTGTAGCTCTCTCTGTATAGTGTTACATGTAGCTCTCTCTGTATAGTGTTACATGTAGTTCTCTCTGTATAGTGTTACATGTAGCTCTCTCTGTATAGTGTAGCTCTCTTTGTATAGTGTTACATGTAGCTCTCTCTGTATAGTGTAGCTCTCTTTGTATAGTGTTACATGTAGCTCTCTCTGTATAGTGTAGCTCTCTTTGTATAGTGTTACATGTATCTCTCTGTATAGTGTTACATGTAGCTGTCTCTGTATATTGTTACCTGTAGTTGTCTCTGTATAAGCAGCTGCTGGTCTCTGTATAGTGCTATGTCTCCTGACACTTACATGGAGTGGTGGGGGGGCTGGTTTTGGGAGGGTGATAGGAGGAGATATAAAGACAGGGAGTGTTATACAGAGGGGGCAGGGGCCACAACAGCTCCCATGATTGGAGAACACAGGGTAACAATAGGAGGGACAGGGAGGGTGTAATAGGAGGGGAGGCTGTAATAGGCGGGACAGGGAGGGTGTAATAGGAGGGACAGGAAGTGACAATATGAGGAAGAGACTGGATACAAATTGTTCACATTTTCAAGGAAAGAAAAAAGGAGTCAGACAGGGGTTAATAATATCATAGACCAAGGGGTGATTAATAATATCATAGACCAGGCAGGGATTAATAATATCATAGACCAGGTGGGGATTAATATCATAGACCAGGCTGGGGTTAATATCATAGACCAGGCGGGGATTAATAATATCATAGACCAGGTGGGGGTTAATAACATAGATCAGGCGGGGATTAATAATATCATAGACCAGGTGGGGGTTAATAACATAGATCAGGCGGGGATTAATAATATCATAGACCAGGTGGGGGTTAATATCATAGACCAGGCAGGGGTTAATATCATAGACCAGGCGGGGATTAATAATATCATAGACCAGGTGGGGGTTAATATCATAGACCAGGTGGGGGTTAATAATATCATAGACCAGGTGGGGGTTAATATCATAGACCAGGCAGGGGTTAATAACATAAATCAGGCGGGGATTAATAATATCATAGATCAGGCAGGGGGGTTAATATCATAGCCCACAATAGATTTGTTTTCTGATTTGTTTTCTGATCAGACAGTAAGGGGTCAAACATTAGATTTGCTCCTCTGATCAGATAATAAGGGGTTAAACATTAGATTTTTTTCTGATCAGATAATAAGAGGTTAAACATTAGATTTGTTTTCTGATCATACAGTAAGGGGTTAACGTTTTAGATTTACTCTTTTGATCAGACAGTAAGGGGTTAAACATTAGATTTGTGTTCTGATAAGACAGTAAGGGGTTAAACATTAGATTTGTTTTCTGATCAGATAGTAAGGGGTTAACGTTTTAGATTTACTCTTCTGATCAGACATTAAGGGGTTAAACATAATTTAAAGTGACGTTACAATGTTAGGCCAATATAGTCAGCTGTGCTTCAAGTTCAGTTGCTGGCTCACTGACAGTTCACAGGTCAGTAACATCCCTGTGGGCCTCACTGAAAGAAGAACTGTTTGGGTAACTGCAGGAAGCGGTCAGTGACCAAACATCGACTTCTGTGTTTATAGAGTTACCGGTAAAACAGCCCATAACTGCAGGTTGTTATAGCGTGGCCTCGTCACTCGGTTTTAGTGTTACATTAAATAAAGTAGAGACTATGTTACCATATTTTTATCAGCTACTGAACTGTACAACAGTTATTGAATGACGCACCGCCATCTGTCAGTTTATGGACTTGGAAAACTACCGATTGTCAAAGGTCAAAAATTGATTTTATTTGTTTTTGATATTTAATATTTTTAATTTTCTCAATAGAAAAATCACAAAACGGTACATGAATCACTTCCGGGTACACAACATTGGTACAGTACAGCCAAAAGGATCATTAATTCGGCTTTGGAAAAACACTTGCCATATTTAAAATATGTATAACATCTGTATATTACGTCACAGCTGGAACCATGAGATGATGGACTATTTCTGAGTCAGTCTTGGGCCGTGAGACTTATCGTCTTTATTCATTGAATGGGTTCTTGTGTATGTTTTGTCCATTTGATTTTGTGTAGGTGTACCATTCCGGCCGGGTGAGTCCTAAACCTGTGTACCTATGGGGTGCATGCACCTGTCAGTGAGGAGCACTTTTCTACATCCGCAGGGAGTGACCTTGTGTCCAGATCAGCTCTTAAATGGTTCTGAAGGCCAAGGATGTAAGTGTGACAGATTTCTCCCATCTGGTTTGTTACGACATGGGAGCTAAGTGGGGAAGAAGGGGAGATATGGTTCTCAGGGGTGCATTCAGTATAGCGTGTATATGGCTGTACAAAGGAAAGATGGATTTCTGCCATAATTCGGATGCTTTCTACCTTTTTGTATCCAATCTCGGATTGAAGGGAGGGTTGATTTTTTTCCAGGTTAGGGGGATTAACATGTTGGCCGCCGTCCGGAGATGGTGTATCAGAATTCGTTTGGTCTTGGATAATGGAGTTGGAGACACAATGATACCTTTGGAGAGGTTGGGATATCAACCCCTGTGATTGCCAACTGTGGCCTGGGGTGCCTTTCTGCTACTGGCATCTCCAACATTTATCGAAAGAGTTTGGAAATAAACGGTTGGTGCGTGGCAGCGTGGGCGTGTAGTGCCACCTGGATATTCTCTTACAGTTGTGTTCGTGTGTGGCATTGCTAATGGAAGAATTGAGAAATGTAGATTTTATGTACCACTATCATAATGTATTATACTATGTATGAAGCACTTTTGAAAACCAAATTAATATTAATTTAAAAAATAAAATAAAAATAGTAGAGAATACTTTTTCTCAAGGGGAGCGTGATTTCTGACAATGGCTTCAGTGGCTAATTTACCCCCATCCATCTATGGAATCCCACATGACATGCGCATCGTCTTTTCGGCATATGATTTACATTACCTGACTTAACCCCCTTCCCAGACAGACACGGACACTAAATTAAAGTGGGTAAATGTCACGGCTTTAATGATTAAAAGGCTCATTGTCAGGCCGAACTCTGTACATATGCCATTAACCCCATAACGTAACATCCATAATCAATAACAGTATTAGAATTGTATAATACAACACACACAGCCACAACAGGCAACGTAATATAACAGTTTTAACATTGTTGGGGTATACCGAGACACCCCTACACCACTAGGTTGAGAGCCTCTATTCCAGCTTAAACCTCCAAACTGTGTGTCGTCCTGTTATTGGAGGGAAGGAAGATTTAACCCCTGTGTCTGCTGTTCCAGCTTGCAGGGGATTCAACAGGGAAAGTCCTGGTAAGGACTAAGAGCTTCCAGGGCTGGGTGCCGTCTCTGCCTGGGAACGAGATACTGGGAAGTCATCCCGCTACAGTACCCCTCTTTGTACCCGCTGTACCCCTCTGTTAGCTGTTGTACACCGGTGTACCCTTCTGTACCTCATTGTAGCCTGATGTACCCCTCTGTAACCCATTGTACCCGCTGTAACCTGTTGTACTCGCTTTACCCCTCTGTAACCCATTGTACCCGCTGTAACCTGTTGTACTCGCTTTACCCCTCTGTAACCCATTGTACCCGCTGTAACCTGTTGTACTCGCTTTACCCCTCTGTAACCCATTGTACCCACTGTAACCTGTTGTACTCGCTTTACCCCTCTGTAACCCATTGTACCCGCTGTAACCTGTTGTACTCGCTTTACCCCTCTGTAACCCATTGTACCCGCTTTACCCCTCTGTAACCCATTGTACCCGCTGTAACCTGTTGTACTCGCTTTACCCCTCTGTAACCATTGTACCCGCTGTAACATGTTGTACTCGCTTTACCCCTCTGTAACCCATTGTAGCCCGCTGTAACCTGTTGTACTCGCTTTACCCCTCTGTAACCATTGTACCCGCTGTAACATGTTGTACTCGCTTACCCCTGTAAACCCACATTGTACCCGCTGTAACCTGTTGTACCTCCGCTTTACCCCCTCTTGTAACCCATTGTACCCGCTGTAACCTGTTATTGTACCGCTTACCCCTCTGTAACCCATTGTACCCGCTGTAACATACAAAATTTCGCTTTTACCCCTCTGTAACCCATTGTACCCGCTGTAACCTGTTGTACTCGCCACCCCTCTGTGTAACCGCATTGTACCCGCTTAAATCTGTTGTACTCGCTGCACTCTTGTAACCCATTGTAGCCCGCTGTAACCTGTTGTACTCGCTTTACCCCTCTGTAACCCATTGTACCCGCTGTAACCTGTTGTACTCGCTTTACCCCTCTGTAACCCATTGTAGCCCACTGTAACCTGTTGTACTCGCTTTACCCCTCTGTAACCCATTGTAGCCCGCTGTAACCTGTTGTACCCGCTTTACCCCTCTGTAACCCATTGTAGCCCGCTGTAACCTGTTGTACCCGCTTTACCCCTCTGTAACCCATTGTACCCGCTGTAGCAGACTCCAGTCACCATGCACGTAAGTAATCCTTTCTGTGCATTCCCCTTCGCTGGGGGTGGAGCGATGTCAGGGAGGAGAAGAGAGGAGCTGTGCCTCCATTGGGTGTCTGGTGGTATCATGCAATGTTTTACGTCTCTTTGTAGATCACTTTTCTAAATAAAACCACAATAATGTCGGACTATAAGAGTCACTTTTCAGAACAGTTTGGTCAATGCTGTTTACGGATCCCCACTCCCACTTGGTGAACGGCTGTCTATTATTAATGCCTGTTGTGTAATCCTGGGTTATTTGTGGCTCGTCCTTGTGTGAG